TCATGAGTAGGGTACTAAGAAGCTGATCCTCTTGATAATGGTTATGCATGAGGAATCTCTTTATCCCAGGTGTCTGTGTTTCACCAGAGTGCAGTGGTGAAAGGTAAGGATCCATGAGGAGTAGCTTAAGTATGATTTGAGAGAGAAATTTTCCTTCTTGGAGTGACCCACTATTTTTATACATGTGTGTGTTTACCTTCCTTTCAGCTTGATATAAAATCTAGTTCTAATGCAGAGGGATTGAAGATTCATAATTTCTTTCTTTTTTGTGGCTATCATAAAGATATCTGTGTGTAAATACACAAGAGAAGTGATGTTAGAACCTTCTATAATCTTGTCTATCTTATTCTTGCTTGATTTATTTTATTGAACTTTGGTTGGCTGGATAACTTAGCATTTTTTCTCTTTAGAAAGGATTTATTTAGCACTAAAACCAAAACTGATGCTCTACCCCATGCAGGCAACACTGGTCTCAAAGTAACAGCAATCCACTGTCTCACTCTCTTGAGCTATGATGTTAAATGCATGTGTAAACACACTCGGCATTTCTACTCTTCACCTGTTATAAAAGGCTTCTTTATCTCCATTAATCAAAATGTTCACTTTGCTTCTAAATACAAAAGTCAAAGCAAGTAAAATGTCCATCATTTTGTAATCTAAACTCACAACTTCTTTGAGAGAAAATTAAAGGAGATATACTTATGTGGTCCACAGTATATAGATGAAAACAATACCTTGGCAATTTTCTAATCTCACTTTGAAGCTTTGGTTTTACTTGGATAAGACATACATTTCTTCTGTACTGTAATTTTTAGTTGCATATGAGTTCAGACATGTTATGTTGGCATAATAGTAAACTAAAATCTATTGTTTATTTTCACAGAAATCTTGAAAGAATGGGAAATGGAAATCATTCTAATGCAGCTTGGTTTGTGTTGGTGGGATTAACAGAGCAACCGGAGCTCTTACTGCCCCTTTTTCTCCTGTTCCTGGGAATCTATGTGGTGACAGTAGTGGGGAACCTGGGCATGATCCTGCTCATCACAGTCAGCCCTCTGCTGCAAACTCCCATGTATTATTTCCTCTGCAGCTTATCATTTGTTGATCTCTGCTATTCCACTGTCATTACACCCAAAATGCTGGTGAACTTTCTTGGGAAGAAGAATTTGATCTTCTATTCTGAGTGCCTGGCTCAGCTCTTTTTCTTTGTGATCTTTGTGGTTGCTGAGTGCTACCTCCTAACTGTCATGGCATATGATCGCTATGTAGCCATCTGCAGCCCATTGATGTACCATGTGATCATGTCATCTAGGCTTTGTTCACTGTTGGTTCTGGTTTCCTTCCTCCTAGGCCTTTTGTCTGCCATTGCACATACAACTGCTAGGATGAAACTGAGCTTCTGTAAATCCCACATCATCAGCCATTATTTTTGTGATGTCCTCCCCCTTCTCAACCTCTCCTGCTCTAACACACATCTCAAGAACTTCTCCTATATACCATTGCAGGAATAAACACCTTGGTTTCCACCCTAGCGGTCACCATCTCCTATGTCTTCATCTTGGCTGCATCCTTCGCATCAGTTCATCAGAGGGCCGGTTCAAAGCCTTTGGCACCTGCAGCTCTCATCTTATGGCTGTGGGGAATCTTCTTTGGGTCAGTCACCTTCATGTATTTCAAACCTCCTTCAAGTATACTCTGGAGGAAGAGAAGGTTTCTTCTGTGTTTTATACCACAGTGATCCCCATGCTGAACCCATTAATGTATAGTTTGAGGAACAAAGATGTGAAGAAAGCGTTAGGCAGATTTTTGGTGTGGAGATAAGTTTTATTGTTGGTAATCAATAGATGGGGAATAGAATAATTCTTTCCTTTCATTTTTAATTCTTCCTTGTAACACATAACCATATCTATGTTTGTTGGCTTGTGCTGCACCTGCTGCGCAGCCTGTATCCCAGAATGTAGTGAGGTTGTCAGCATAGATGACACAGAGACAGGTCGGTTGCGTTAAGAAAACTTTATACTCCCCAAATCGGCTTAGGAGAACTTCCCAAGAAAAACACTTCCCTTCAGAAAGACTTCTGCCATTCATATACACACAAATCTCCAACAGAGCTCTCACACACCTCTCACACCCCTCGCACCCTCCTGGCTGGTGGTTAAATCTCTGGCACCAGAATCGGAAAACAGCAGGGAGTAGCTAGCCATTGAGAAGATCAAAGTCATGGTGTTTCAGTGAGCAAGCCCTTATCAGAGCCCTATCAGGAGTTTATGGCACTGAATTGTTTTCAGTAAGCAGGTTTTCAGTAAACATTGTCTCTCAGCTGCCTGCTCCCAGGCTGATGGAGGGGTGGGTTTCCGGCCAGGGTCTGTGATCCCCACAGGATTGTGATTGACCTCATAGCAACCTGTGTATTAGGCATGTACTATGTCACAGAGATACATCAAGTATCTGTACTTTTCAAAATGTTTTTCATTGTGTTGTTTTTTCAAATTTTCCAATAAGATGGAAAAATTATAGGTAAAACATGTATTACTACTTTGATAGGAAAATGGATCTGTTTCTGTTTCATATAAATGAAGTGATGATTTAAATTATTCTCTAACATCACTTTTCTCATCCAAATGTTCAGTAGTTGTTAAACCTTCCATAACCTTTCATTATCTCTAGGTCAGCTGTAGAGATGTGGTCCCATTTACTATTCCACTCTCCATGAGTAACTATGAGTGGGCCACTCAGTAGACGTATAGCCTCAGTAGAAGTGGTCATAGCTTGTTTTGTTACATGGATACAATGATTGTGTTATGGATGTACATTCACTCTTTCTCCTCTCTTCTACCTCTTACATTCATTCTGCCCCTCATCTGCAATGATTCTTGACCCTTAGATAGTATAGTAGTCCAAATACCTTGTTTAGGCTTCAGATCTTATCATTTATTCTCATCATCCCAGTGGGCTATGCATCTCTATTAATTGTTAAGTGTAAACAGAAGCTTCTCTCATTGATATTGAGGATAGAATGTGCCTAAGGGTATAAACATAAGTATTTAGATAGAAAATTGTAACCATCTCACTTTAGGTATTTATTGGTAGTAATTTCCTCTCTCAGAACTGATGTATAGAGTACAGAGTTGGGCCCTCACTATCTTTTGTTTTGTCAGCATGGAACCAATCAGAAACAAACACATAACTCCAATAACAAGGACACAGATATTTCTGAACATAACTAGAAGACAGAAATCAATACACACAAATATGAAGAGGAGATTAGTAGGGGAAACAAGAGTAGACATGAGAGGGAAGGAGAGGAGAGAGACTAGAGTTAAGAACAATCAAAATACAAAGTTCATGATACAGCATATGGGACTGTCAAAATAGAAATTTTATTTTTCAAAAGGAAAATGTGCAATGTGAGAGGCACTCACCTGGTCACAAATATAGAATGTTCAGAAACTTAGAACTGGATCCTATGTCCATTCATTGATCATTGACAGGACAAGACAAATTAATAAGGAAATCAAGAGAAACGTATGAAAAAACAGTAGCAGAATAATTGGCAATTCTGACAACATGTTCTGCTCAATGTGTTTTAAAACTCCTTTCTACTGAGAATATACAAGATCACTTGAATTCCATTTGCCCCTTGACTTTGCAAGTCAGTATCTCCTTATACCAAGACAAGGTAAAGGAACTGTGCCCTCAACCCATCATGATTTAGTATTAAATATAAATTGTTATTCAAAAATTGTGACAGGGTAATGGGGGAAGTCCTGTGTATATGTCAATAAAGCACTGTTGGCCAGTAGGGAAGCAAGATAGGTGGGACTAGGAGTCGAGGAGTATGGTGGGAAGGAGAAACACAGGGAAGTCAAGATGTAACTGCCATGGGGTAGGAAGCCTGGAAACTTCTCCAGTAAGAGAAATACTTAGATTAACAATTATGGGGTAAGTACTTAAGTCAGAGCTAGCCAGTAAGAAACAAGCAAGGCCAACAGCTTCATAATTAATATAGCCTCCTGTGTGTTTATTGGGACTGATGCGGCTCTGGAACCAGGCTGGCTGGAAGGCTTCTCTCTACAGCAGGGTATACATTATGTTCTTTGCACATGGTACAATAATCAAGCCATTTTATTTGGTGCCTACATGAAGCATGTAGGACAAGATGACCTCAGAAGTTCGGGCCTTGCTTCCTGTTAGTCTCCTCAGAGTGGCAGTATGGGGACCCAAGCCTCTGTCACTATCTTATCTAGAGACCAAGGACTGCCTAAATGTTTACATATTCAATAAATAGATAACTTTGTTTCTAACATATTTCTTCTTTATATAAATACTTTGTGGAAATGTTTTTCTTTTTGCCAGTATATTATGTTTATATCGTTTCTCTTTCCTGCTCTCTTTCTAGCTCATACCAGCTATTTTTCATTAATTGTTCTTACATAGTGCTAGTGAAGTCATGGACCTTGGAGAATAACTTATAATTGCCACTTTACTACACCAAAACAATATTTAACTACATTATAAATAGTTTTACTTATATACAGAGGCGGTTAGTCTTTGGATAAGGTCGAGGTCAGGGCGGTTCCCATGGGCAAGCCTTTTCCAGGAACTTATTGCCCCGGGCATTGTATTGTTTTTAGTAAACATGTTTTTAGTAAACATTATCTTACAGCTGCCTACTCCCAGGCTGATGGGGAAGTGGGTCTCTGCTCAAGGTCTGGTGTCCCCACACATATTGTGTTTTGTCTAAGGCCATCTTCTCTTATTTGGTTCATATAGACCCCAATTAAAATGGCTTGATTATTTTAAAATATTTTCAAATATTTTATACTATTTTCCTTATAAACTTAGATGAAGGTTTTGCAATACATTAAGCTTTTAAAGATGCCACATTTGCAGGTTTTCTCAAGCGCTAATATCCCTTAAAGTTTATATAACAATAAGAAATTATTAGGAGACTTTTATCTGAATAATAACACATCATTTATAATATAACAGATTCATCATTGTTATTGATAACTATATTTATGCATAATTCAAGAAAATAAATCTTTATTAAAATCAATCATAAAATAATACCCATAGTCAATAGTTTTGTAGAGATGAGTGGGGTCCTCTGAGGGAAGCTCTCTCAAATTGTATTATTATCCAGTGTTATCTATAGGAACAAAAGTGATAGAATGAAATAAATGAACTGTAAGCACATGAAAACACTTTGTATCTTTATTACTGAGGACAGCAAATTTAAAATCATAAACTATGCATACATTAGGTCCAGTTCAATGAAAATTATATGTGAAATCACATGCTTGCTTCACATGTCAATCCCAGCTTCCTTTCCCACCTCTCCTCCTTGTCCCTCCACCAGTCTCCCCCAACCCCCCACCCAATCCCCACATCATTCCCCAGGGACGGTGAGGCCCTCCATGGGGGGGATCTCCAGAGTCTGTCATTTCATCCAGGGACGGACCTAGGCCCTTCCCCATGTGTCCAGGATGAGAGAGCATCACTCCATGTGGAATGGGCTCCCAAAGTTCAGACAGACAGACAGAGCATGTGGGTGGGGTTTCCCACGTCTAAACCTTGCAGACAGGTGGAGGCAGAGACAGGAGGATGAAGTAAAATTCCATGCTAGCCAGCTGGGTCTCCACAGTGTTGCAGCAAAAGTAGTTCATACTGAGATGGAAACACGAAACAGACCAGAGGCGCGGAAAAAAAAATTGTAGTCCAGGCTGGCCTCGAACTCAAGATCCTCCTGCCTCTGCCTCCTTCAGCAAATCCTACCGGTGCGCGCCACCACAACCGGCGAAAGTAAATTGCGACACAGACGTACTCGAATGTTCACAGCGATGATGTGCACCTCACGGACACACCCCCGACAGTGGCGCCCCGCCCGCCTGCTGCCCGACTCCCGCCTCCCTCCACACTTGCTCTCAGGCCCGGACACTCACAAGAAACTCGCGATCCACAAACCCTCAACACCTCCCCACTAACAACAGCAGCAGCCGCTTGCCCTTCACACACACGCACACGCATACACACACGCACACACACACGCACCGCCCGCACCGCCAGCACCGCCGGCCTCCGACCTCCCACAGATCCCGACCCCCTCACGCCAGTCGCCCTACACCCGCCGCCCCTTCTTCCACGCTCACTGCCCCGCCCGGGACTCCAAGTCCCCGACCCCTGGCGGACGGCCGGGACCCACACTCACCGCCGACCAGCGCCCCGTCCTCCCATTTGCCGCCGCTCAGTCCCGCGCGCTGGCCCGCTCGCCGCCCCCTTCACTGTCCACCTAAAGCCACCGCTCGGGCCCCAACCCTCTGCCACCCTGCCCGCTCGCGGACCGCCTCCCTCTACTCGCTGCTCCTCCCGCTCCTGCCCTGTCGCCGTCCATACTCACTTGGCAGCCCGCCATTGGGCAAAGCTCGCCAAGCACCGGTCCCCGACCCCGCAGCGAGATGGCTGCTCTGCGAGCTCGGCCCTTCCTCGCTGGGGACGGATCTACAGCCTAACCAAGGCCTTAAACTCTGGATGTCACTGAGCTTCTTCTCTACGGGCCCTCAGAGCACCTGAGCTCAAGCCCTCACACAACACACGCACCCCGCCCTCTGACAGTGCTCCCCGCCTCCTGGACTGAGCCCGTGGGCAAGGTGGGCGCACTCAGTTCCTCATCCTGTAGGTTCCCTGGCCACCCGTGACTTCAGGTTTACCATGCAACAAGTAGTGTTTGCATGGCTGCATGGCTGCATGGCTGCGTGGCTGCATGGCTGCGTTAACGGGTTTGAGTATGGACGAGTGGTTGTCTAGGACCTGGGCACCCTGCTAGGGCTTCAGGCAGCAGGCGGGCGGGGCACGAATGTCGGGGGTGTGTCCTGGAGGTGCACGTCATCGCTGTGGACATTCGAGTATGACCGTGTCGAACCGTTTTCTCGCCGGTTGTGGTGGCGCGCACCGGTAGGATTTGCTGAAGGAGGCAGAGGCAGGAGGATCTTGAGTTCGAGGCCAGCCTGGACTACACTTTTTTTTCTCCTCGCCTCTGGGCTGTTCCACGTTTCCATCTCTGTATGAACTCAGTAATATGATAGAACAACAGTTTTTATTTAATGAACACATAAACATTTCTCCTCGCCTCTTGGCTGTTCCACGTTTCCATCTCAGTATGAACTCAGTAATATGATAGAACAACAGTTTTTATTTAATGAACACATAAACATTTATGGAGTGCTTGCTAACTGCTTAGGGTAGTAAAAGAGGAAAGTAAAGTTCTAATTAGCAAAGTATTAGGGAACCAGTCCTGGTACTCTGGGGATCCCAGAGAGGAAAAGGATTTGTTGTCTAAAGCCATCTGAGAAAAAGCAAAATAAGAGGTTATTTGGATCATATAGACCCCAAATAAAATGGCTTAATTTTGTTGCAGGTACAATGAACATATTGTGTTTTGTTGTCAGAAGAAGTGATTCAGTTTACTTTTCCTGTTGCAATTTCTGAGCATTATTTTTCCTTCAGTAACTTGGTCATAAAAATTTTTCCATTAAATATTTTTAAACATATGTTAAACTGTTTTCCTCATAAACTTAGATGAAGCTTTTGCAATACATTAAACCTTTAAAGATCACACATTTGCTGCTTTTCTCAAGCACCTATATGCCTTAAAGTTTCTATAACAATAAGAAATTATTATGAGACTTTTATCTGAATAATAAAACATCATTTATAATATAACAGATTCATCCTTGTTATTGATACTATGTTTATGTATAATTCAAGAAAATAAATCTTTCTTGAAATCAATCATAAAAATCATACCCATAGTCAATAGTTTTGTAGAGATGGGTGGGGTCCTCTGAGTGAACCTCTCTCTGATTGTAATATTATCCAGGGTTATCTATAGGAACAAAAATGATAGAATGAAATAAATGTACTGTAAGCACATGAAAACACATTTTGTTTGTTTATCACTGAGAAAAACAAATTAAAAAACAAACTATGCATACATTAGAGCCAGTACAACGAAAAGTATGAAATCACATTTTGGCTTTAAAATATATCAACTATAGCATATATATATGTATATAATTTAAATTAGAAACATGCTTGCTTCACATGTCAATCCCAGCTTCCTTTCCCACCTCTCCTCCCTGGTCCCTCCACCAGTCTCCCCCACCCAATCCCCACACCGTTCCCTAGGGAGGGTGAGGCCCTCCATGGGGGGATTTCCAGACTATGTCATTTCATCCAGGGAAGGACCTAGGCCCTTCCCCATGTGTCCAGGCTGAGAGAGCATCGCTCCATGTGGAATGGGCGACCAAAGCTCATTCCTATGCCATGTTAAACAATGATCTGCTTTCCAAGACCACAGAGATTGCTGAGGCCTCGTCAGTGAAACTACATTCAGGGAGTCTGGATCAGTCTCCTGCTGGGCTCTCAGCCATCTATCTGGGGTTCAAGAGCTCCTGCTTTTCCGGTCAGTGGTCTTTGTGGGTTTCACCAGCACAGTGTTGACCTCTTTGCTCATAACTCTTCCATCTCTGTCACTGGGTTCCAGGAGTTCAGTTCAGTGTTTAGCTGTGGGTATCTGACTCTGCTTCCATCAAGCACTGGATGAAGGTTCTAGGATGGCATATAAGGTAGGTATCAATCTTATCATCAGTGAGGGGCTATTCAGGTGTTCTCTCAGCTATTGCTTAGTTTGCCAGGTGGAGTTATCCTTGTAGATCTCTGGAAATCTCACTAGTGTCAGCTCTCTCCTCAAGCCTTTAATGACTCCATCTATTAAGGTATCTCTCATCCTGCTCTACTCTATTCTCATCCTGGCTCAACCTTCCTTATCCCCCATGTCTTCTTCTACCACCAGAGACCCTATACCAGGAAGACCTGCACATCCCAACTGTAACTTTTATCCATAACTGTTCAAAGTTTAAAAGTTACCTGATTCAGAAGTAGATTTGCAGTTTGAGGGAGGGATAAAAGCTCACTTAACACAATATACAAGCATTTCAGCTAGATATTTGTGTAAATTAAATAATATATGATCATAAAAGTATCAAACTGTTAGCAAATTCATTTATTGTAGACTAAAAATCCCCAACTGATCAACAAAATTAAGTGAGTAGATTTTGATAAATCTATGTGATAGTATTCTCAACAATAAAATGGATTTATATATAAATATTTAAATGGTTACCTTGAATAAAGAGAAACTAAGAACACATTAATAAAATATCTATTTATATGAAATGGTACAAATGCCAATCACCAGTCTTCTGTGGCAATGTGAAAGTCAGCTACTGTCTATAGGAAGACAAATGTAAAAAGAAGAGTCATGAAACATAATCAGCTCTTTGTTATTTTGATTGCAGCACAGTTTTCAGACGTTATAATTGTGTCAAAAGTTATCTTGTCCTCTTACAGATGTGAAGTTTCATATCCTTCAATTTCCCCTGGGTAATTCTGATCATGAGATGTTTCACTAAAGTAAATAATTATTGGTGACAACCATAAAAATTATTATGGGGTTTTTGTTAATGCTTAGTCAAATTTCGAATTGCTTGTGAATACTAGTATCTTTAAATGTTATGTCATTCTCTTCATGTATTAACTTTTCAGATGTTCAGGTCTACACCTGGACCCACTGGAAACATTTTATAATTTCCCTCAGGTCAGCTCCTCACTCTTTTTGCTCAGTGCATGCATATATATTAGTTCCTCCGCATTGCTCTGCAGTGGGATTTATTTCTTATAGATAGATGTGATTTATATTAATTTCTGAATGTTAATTTACCACTCAATGCCTTATTGAAGTCTCAGGTTGGTTTTGTTACAGGTACTCTAAGCATTTTTGGATTAAGGTATTTTATCATCTACAATGAAAGATAGTGATTCTCCTGTTTCTAATTGTTGCCCTCTGTCTCAGCTGCCTCACTACCGCGGACTCTGACTGATGACACCCTAGGCGAGTTGGGGTGACCACTTCAGCAAGAAAAGATCTCAAAACTTCAAGGGGAGTCAGGAGGAACCAGGAGATGGAAAACGCACACACACACACACACACACACACACACACACACACACACACACACACACACACACACACACAGACACACGAGAGAGACAGAGACAGAGAGAGAGACAGAGAGACACAGAGGCACAGAGACAGAGAGACAGAGAGACAGAGGCCGACTGAAAGGGAGGGCCAGAGAGAGTGAGACAGACAGGCAGACAGACAGACAGACAGAGCATTTGGGGTGGGGTTTCCCACGTCTAATCCTTGCAGGCAGGTGGACTCAGAGACAGGAGGATGAAATAAAATTTCCTGCCTGCCAGCTGGGTCTCCACAGTGTTGCAGCAAAAGCAGTTCATACTGAGATGGAAAGACGGAACAGGCCAGAGGCGAGGAGAAAAAAAAGTGTAGTCCAGGCTGGCCTCGAACTCAAGATCCTCCTGCCTCTGCCTCCTTCAGCAAATCCTACCGGTGTGCGCCACCACAACCGGCGAAAGCAGCTTGCGACAGAGTCCCACTCGAATGTCCCGAGTAATGACGTGCACTCCACGGACACGCCCCCCGACACTTGCGCCCCGCCCGCCTGGGGCCTGAAGCCTGCTGCTGTCCACTCTTGCTCTCAGGCCCGAACACTCACAAGAAACTCGCGATCCACAAACTCTCAACATCTCCTCACAAACAACAACAGTAGCTGCTTGCCCTTCACACACACACAGCATTTTGGTGCAATGACAGTGGAATAGCAGAGATCAACCTATGATAAACTGCAGAGGAAATAATACAAAAAAGGAGAATTTTCTGACAGGTGAAGAGTAGAAGTGCTGAGTGTGTTTGCTCATGCATTTATCATCACAGCCCAAGGAGCTGAGACAAAGGATTGCTGTTGCTTTGAGAGCAGATTGATTGCATGGAGTATAGCGTCAAAGTTGGTTTGAGTAAAACTCTTTCTGAAAACAAACAACAAGAAGCAAGCTAACTGATTCAACAAAACAAAAGTCCAATAAAATTAATCAAGTAAGAATAAAAGGAGACAATATTTTGGAAGATTCTAGCATTGTTTCTCTCTTTTTTTTAAATACATGGTAGCTTCAAAATATCCACAAAAATGAAACTATAAGTTTTCCATTCCACTGCACTGGAAACGGATTTATATCCTGCTGGACAGAAGGTAGATATGCATGTGTGTAGAAATAGTGAGTCTTTCCAAGATGGAAAATCACTCTCACCAAAAATACCTAAGCAACTCCTCCTGGATCCCTATGATGTTGTTGAAAGCTGAGGACACAGCTGTTTTCCCACTGTGCTCTGGTGGAACACAGACACTTGGAATATAGAGTTTCCTCCTGCTTAACCATTCTCAAGAGTGTCAGCTGCTTAGTACCCTACTCATGAGTTAAAAAGCCATCACTGATAATTCTGACATCTGATAGACAATCATTATAAGACAGGGACATTTGCTGTTGAACATACTAGGAATAATTCTGTTATTATAGCCTTGGCCATTCGAGTAATTAAGTCCTACAGTGCTTTTGAGCCTGAATCTGAACAAATAAAAACATATGCCATATTTCTTCCCTCAAGAAACATCACTATCCAGTGATGTCACAGTTTTTCCAAGTAGGAAATGTGTTTTTTTGATGGAGCTAATTTGAATGGCAGTGTGTGTTGTTAGGGTATATTTAGAATGGGCCACTGGAGATAATTAGTAACCTCTTTACATCACCTCTGCTTGTATGCCTCCCTCTTTTCTAACTCCTTCTTCATCACACATTATATGCTG